CAAACCTAAGTTACATTGTTTTAAGCCTGAGTTACAGTACTAAACTTACTTCTTTGACGATGTCCAATCAGATTGTTTTGCGGTTTGTCCAGGTCAGGAAACAGATGAACAGATTTGAAAACAGCAGAAAACGGGTCAGCGAAACAGGTCAGCAACGAAGGTGTTCACAGTGAAAATATCTGCGACAAAAAACTAACTTATCCAAGCTCAAAGGTCAATTGACCGTATCGGTTACGCGGCTAAATGTCAATCAAAAGGTATTTACGAAATCAAACGTCAATCAAATGCTAATTGTTCATATATTAACGGAACAGTGGGAAAAGCTTGAGGTTTTATTTAAAATAGAAAGCATAGCCAAAACTTAAAACAAATTCTCTCGAAATGCCAATGAATATATTTGCGTTTAATTCTTATACTCCTGGGAAAGACCGCAGAGAAAAGCTATGACTTTCTCTAACTGACTTCCACCTTTCTGGTCAGTGACAGAGTGTAGCATAATTTTACCGTCAAAGTTTTCTTCGAACTGTTAATGCCGATATTTGGGAGAAAAAAACATCTGGCATCCGTTACTGTTTCTTATAGTATTTACTCGATTCCACGTACATAGTAAAGATTATAACTTTCGAAAAAATTTGCGAAAAAAAGGAGATGACGCTGCGAGCAGGATTCGAACCTGCGTGAGGAGACCCCATTGGATTTCAAGTCCAACGCCTTAACCACTCGGCCATCGCAGCTTACGACACTAATAGTGGCTAGGAAAACAATAGTTTCAGGCACTACATTGCAAAGTTTTGCGAGGTATAGAAGATTCAGATTAAAACTGAGCTAGTTTTGCGCATATATCAGTGATAGAACGCATTTTCACCATCCAGAAATTTAAGATGATGTATCAACTAGTACAAAACATGAGCACGATAGCCCTAAAGCACAAGACATTTACCCCTTACATTTATCGCCTTAATGCACATTTCAAAGGCGTTTAAACTGCTTAACAACCGTTGCTATGTTATCAANAGTGACTACTCGTAGTCTAACTAATTGGGGACACTATTTACATATTAAAATATACCTTAGCTACATAAAGATAAAATTATTTACAATTTAATTCGAAACAAAGACCCTTAATAGATGAAAGATAAAACCCTTAATAGAAGATAACAGACGGATTTCCGGGGCGCTATATGAACTTGAAGGTAAATTTCACGTTTTCCCACTTTTATCACTCTAGTGGGAGGCAGCGTGGCCGAGTGGTTAATGCGCAGGATTTCAAATCCGGAGGTTGCCGGTTCAAGTCCTGCTCTGACCACTAAGTTTAAGTTGTTTCTCGGTAGACCCTAGTTCAACTCCTCGGTCGTGCTTGTAAATAGCCAACTGGTCTGCCTCCTGCCAGTTGGGATTTTTAAGCCAATAATGTCGATATATTTGTTTCTTTCAGTTTAAGTAGCATGCCTGTGATCTAGCTAGGTATAGCTAAGCACATTGACCACCATAAACAACAACATTTGAACATTTTTTATTCCTGGAAAAAAATATTTGAAGTAATCCACATTCTCTTATGCTCTTTTCCTACCTTTTCTCTAAAACTTCTTTGTAACTACTTTTCAGGGAGATGGTGAGTTTTAATTTCAATTTTGTTCACGCTTACGAATCATAAGACATTTTAATAAAATCTGCAGACATTTTAATAAAATTTTAATAGACGTGATTCTATCTTAGATTTAGCCAATATTATTTGTAGAACGTAACTGGTTCGCAGCTTGCAACTCAGCAAGTTCAACTTGTGACGTCTTTGTATCGCAAATTTTCCGTTACGCCATTTCGTATGCATCTCAGTGCACGTGTAACGCCTCTTGATGACGCATAATACAGTCGTTGCAACGTTGCCGCTGGCCTCAGAGTCCTTGGACCGTCTGATCTGAGAATCAGACAACGTTGTCACAATCATCGCAAAAAGTCGAACACTACGTGCATCGCTTGCCTCAATAAAACCGTTGCGAGACTCTTTTTTGCCTGCGACAAGGATTGCCTAGTGACGTGTAACAGCGCTGGAACCGCGACAGCGTTTTGCAAGGCACGTTACAGGGACCTAAATTGGAGGGAAGAGGAGGGGGACAAAAGGCGCACAATTTCTTCTGCATATTCTGTGTCGTTAATGGAATTGCGAGTTCCCCACTTCATCCTTTTTCGCGGAACCAAAGTTTTTTTTCAGAAATGTTTGTCCTGAGTTTTAATGATTTCATATTTGTGTCTTAATTGCCATTTTGAGTTCACTTGACTGTGAGAACCAAGTACAATCTCAAAAAATCAAAACGAGGCTATCATTCATTCATTTGAAGTTTAGGCCCACGTGACTGTCAGTGATCTAAAATCTTGACAGATCAAAACAAAGTTTTTTCGGGCATTTTCTCGTTTGTTTCTTATTTCTTGGGCTTCTGTCTATTGCTTCCCATGATTGGAAGGTAAGTAACGAGGAATGTGTGTGCGAAACCCGACATATTGTAACGAAACGATAAAAGCAACCTAACCCATATCTAAGCTTATTTAATTTTACTGATCTCTTGAGGAGACTTTTGCAAGTGGTTCAATTGAAACTTACGCTTTCAAAAACCAGTCTACGGCCCATATGAGGCCTACTCCGAAAACTCTATCTCGATCGAAGCTAATGTTTTGTAAATCTGAAAACATTTCCAATTGAATAACTATTATCGTCCGAGTCATTTGTTTTGAGAACAAATTAATCTTATTTTTAAATTAAGCGTAAAATGATCGAAATGGTTTAAGTTAACATAACTAAGGAACTGCCTTTGCTCCACAGACTAAAAATAGTTAAAATGAATCTTTTTCACTAACTAAAGCAAACGATATCTATTTTTGTCCTTGCTTTCCGTGTAACAGTATTCCGCCATATTTATTTTGCTCTCAAAATCCACCAGCCTACCACCTGCTAGTTGATTTGTTTGTGGCGGGAAAGGTCACGTGACTGGTGTGGGCTGCCGCTTTAGTGTAGCACTGACGGCGCAAAGAGCGAAATCAGAGTCCTTTGATAATCCAACTATTCAATGCTACGAAACAAAAGAATGAAAACTTTTTGCATTTTACAGTTTACAGACGGATATCACAGTTGTCAGGTGTGTTAGCTTCGTAAGAAAGTCTTTTAAAGGTATTTTGAAAATAAAACGTGTGGAAAAACTGGCAAACAAATCAGTGAAACGGTCGAAGGGATAGGTTACTTCTATCAATGTTTAGGTTAAATAGCTCCAAAGGTAAAGGCGTAGCAACCTCTAGCCGTTCAGTTTTACAATTGAATGTGTTTCGTTAGGACAATGGAACTCGCCTTGCTCCTGGTTCTGGTCAGTGGTATATCGTGCAGAGCGCATGCTCAGCATCTGAAGCATTCACATTTGAAGGATGTGCACCCAGCTAAGAAGTTCAACATCGTGGCTCATTCCAGGAACGAGGTATTTGCACCCTCACCCCAGACCCCTGCTAGGACCTTTTCTTGTACCCAGAGCCCACGCTCTACTTGCAGCGTTTGTTCACCTGACCCAAAAAGCGCGGGTTATGAATGGGATTGGTCGTTTTGAATTGTCAAGAAATCGATCATGATATTTACAGAATATCACCAAAATGTACTTCTTCGACATTTAATACCATGCTAGGATTCGTTTGTTTTATTTAGGACAACATGGTGGTCGTGTTGAAGGGAAGGGATGGATCAAGCGGACAAAACGGTACGCAGGTATGTCATCTCCTGCTACTTTTGAAATACAATTCACACGCGCTACATTCAGGGAGGGAGGCGCGTTGGCCTCACGGTTAGTGCGCTCGTCTCGGGATCGAGCGGTCCGGGCTCGAGCCCTGGCCAAGGACATTGTGTTGTGTTCTTGGGCAAGACACTTTACTCTCTCAGTGCCTCTCTTTATCCAGGTGCAGAAATGGGTACCGGCGAATTTAATGCTGGGGGTAACCATGCCACTGACTTGCATCCCATCCAGGGGGAAGTAGAAATACTCCTAGTCACTTCATTTCACTGAAACTGGAGATAAGCGCCGGCCTGATGGGCTGTTCGGATGTGCAGACTTTACATTTAGGGCAAGTCTCGAATTCATTTCCCGTTAGCAACGGAAACGTTTGCTTTTGTTTTCTAGGGCGACCCCGGTTTACCAGGTCAGCGTGGCCCACCGGGAGTACCGGTAAGTTGTTTCAGTCACCAGTTGTCTTACCGGGAAAGTCCTGGAAATTACGGTGCTGTTTTTCAGTTGTGATCAGTTGTCATCGGTTAAAGGTAGAAAGCGTTTCGAAAAATTTTCAGCCCGGCGATTATTTAGTAATAACTTAAATTTTCTAATTATGTAGGGTTCTAAAGGAACACCGGGAGTATGTACCAAAGAGCAGGTAAATAAGTTTCCTATTTTACAACTGATTCAGGACTGATTTTATAAGATGTGATTTCTGACAGCTTTGCTGGCAGTGTATTTTACTACTGCGGGCAGCTTTGCTAGCAGTGTTATGATGTATAGATCAAAAATAAAAACAGAGTAAACCTGTCATGTAGTGGATGAAGTTGAAAAGCTCCATTGCAAAGTGTAGTGCACGCACGCATGAGCAGTATTTTCAATTTTTCGCATTTGATTTTCTTAGTGTTTGTGTTGACAAGCTAAGCGCATCTCCGTAGGAAAGCTTAACACACTGACCACTATTACTAAACTGATTGAGTGATTGATTGATTGATTGATTGATTGATTGTTTAACTGATTAATGATTATAAAAGCGAACTTTTTATTCAGCACAAGAGATTGGAACTTGAAATAGCTGACACACTCCGTTTCTTTCATTGTTTTATGTCCAGTGTGAATCAAATGAACTAAAACTTCTGATTCAGCGTTTAAATGCGCTTGAAAAGTACGTCAAGGACAAGCAGAATCAAACTGGCGGGGAGCCATGTATTAAACCCACACCCCAAGTCACGCCTGGCACTACAAAGATCTGTCCAACAACACCCACACCTTTAACACCAACCACTCCAACTCAGAAGCCATATCCAGCCCTTCCCCAGCCCCCTGCGGTTGCTGCCCCTGTCCCTGCTCCTGCTGTTTCCCCCCAATCTCCTGCTCCGGCTCCGGCTCCTGCTCCTACTGCTTCCCCCCAAGCTCCTGCTCCTGCCCCTGGTCAAGTTCAAGCCCCAGGCTCTCCTTCACCGGCGTCCGCGCCTGTTCCAGTGAAACCCCAGACTCCTCCTTCCGTCGTTGTACCAGCGAGTCCCGCCCAGGTCCTTTGGGCCAGTCCCGCGCCGTCACAAGTCCCCATGGCAGTTCCTGTCGGTTTTACTGTCCAGAGCACGGTAGAAGCGCCGGGGACGTTTCCTGGAGGAAATGGTCAGGTTGAGATACAGGTAGGAGAGGTTTCCACTATTCTAACAGTCCATGATAACATCCCTTATTCATGGGGGGGAAGTGGGGGCAGATAGAATGGTGATTTGAACTTCTTGATTGCCTTACTGGGTTTTCTATTATTGATTTTAGGATCCACAAATGCCTCCTAAGTGAGCAACGGTTCGCAGTGGATCTCGGGTATTAATTAATACTCACATCAATTTTAAAACGGTTATTAGCGAAAAGTCGTGAAATATCACGTGGTACACAAAAAAAACTTACTATATACTGAAGTTAAGAGGCATGATATTTGCTGCGCTCTTGATATTCACTTAACTATCGTGCACCAGGCCTCAGTTTGGCTGGGCTCACAGGCTGAGATGTTATATTTGAACTTTACAGTTTTTCAAACTTGGTTCTTGACTTAGCTCAACTTTTTTTAAATAGTAGAAGCGACAAAGAGGACGGCTTCGAACCCGGAAAAGAGGAGGGAACCCGGAGAATGTCACATTTATTTCACGTTATAAGAGATAAAGCGTTGAGGGTTAGGGTTAGGTTTAGGGTTAGCGCTGTCGTTTTATGTGGCCTTTTCTTTTTGTGAATTTTTTCCCTGTCTTGTTTCCTCCAGGGAGTTGTTACGCCCCAGGTTTCCGTGCAGGGCTACTCGGCAACTCCTGGAACTGTTCAAGCCGCGCAACCTAGCACTACTTTCAAAAAAAGCAGGTATGTTCAACACGTGACAAACGACGCATACCTAAGCCCTACTCTGAGAGATCGAAAAACTGTTATACATGAGTGTATGTAGCGTGGAATTCCGATTTCTCTAACCCTCGATTTTTTTAACCTCGACGGATAACTCAAACCAAAAGGCGTTTCCCTCTCCTCAGTCGAACACTGTAATTTTACCCCCGATTCTCGAACTACTCGATTTTTCAAACCAGTTATAGTTTTCCTTGGAGGTTAGAAAAATTGGGATTCCATCGTATGCGAGTGGCATATCTGACTGATTACTTATCATCTTATTGCTTCTTGTTTACCATGTAGCATCTCATCAAAAGTTGCTACCAAACCCAAACACGGGCACAAGACGTTCAGTCGTCATACCGCTGACCACCATAAAACGCAGGCTCATAAGCTGCCAGGGAAACCCCGTAACCACTGAAATGACTGCGTAACATCGAATGGAAGGAAAGTCAGTTCACTCCACTTAAACAAAATTCTTGTTAGGAGAGCTTTAGAAAATGTGCAAAGAACGATAGAGAGTATTTTAAATCATTTGTACATTGTTAATTGTCCTATATTTGAAATGATTTTCAGCAGATTATGAACAATAACTCATACATGAACTATGTAGCAGGCTAGAATTCACCAAAACATTTTTCTATACTATGTTGCGATTGGTTGTGAGGGATATCAAGCAAATTTGCGTGCGTTGTGCCACTAAACAGTAAGATTTAACTGCAAAACTAACGGAGAATTTTATTGGGAAACGGGCAGCGTTTCAGCGTTTCACTGAGAAATAATAATCTTATTTTTTTCGTAGCAAATAACAAACAAATAAACACATTTAAAATGCGCACCTGTGAGCACTAAAAATGGGTGTGTTAAAGATATGTTTGAGCTAAGGTGGTCTGCATGCACGGTGCAGCTTCGCGCAATGTTGCACCGCTTTTTGCCCTCGAAACTGTTGTGGCAGCGCACAGCATTGTAGAGAAAGTATCGTTCCATGCTTCTTCAACACTTGGTTGTGTGGAACGGTAAACGTGTGCCCAACTATGCAACGAAAAAAATTAGCCTCGAGATTAAAAAAAAAAGTGATCCTTCGATCTTCCTAGGAAAATCGGGAAGAGGAGTTCTCTTCCCAATTTTTCTGGGAAGATCGAAGGAGACTCTGCTCGCACGGTAGTAAAATGTTCCTCACGCCCACATAACCACTTGTCGTCAGTAAAATGTTGACACCAAGATCATTTAGAATTGAGTTCTGAAGTGCATTATAAAGAGTAGTAAATTTAAACTGACATAGACTAAGCACCACCTAAAAGAATAACAATTAACCCTTGTCAGATATGCATCAAATATTTGCAATTCCAGTTCTAATCCTGTAACTGCTAAAGTCGATTAGAGATAGTTATTGCAGATTATTGAATTAGGCAATACTCCAACGTAAAGTTTCCCATCACGCTGTGCGCGGCAACATAAAATTTCAAATTGTCTTTGCTGATCTCCTGGTTTTCTAAACGGTTTTACTTGGAAGATTTAGTCAAAATATCAATAAGTTTCGTCAGATTGATTGCTATAGAAGATGGTCATTTCCTTGGTTGAGTCCATTTCCCGTGTATGTTACCTAGGGAAGAATATTGAATGAGCGGTCTAGATGGGAAGTGTAAATGGGTCATTTTATGGGTTGGATGACCAGAGGGCTAGAAACTTTACCAGCTAAAGGTTTGGCTATCTTTCATTTAATTGCTCACTAAAAACTTGGCCAGTTATCAACTGACAGTAAATTAGAGCACACCCTCAAGTCATCAAAGGCATCCAAACATCTTTTTCTTTCAACAAAGTTCTTTCATTTTTAGTGCACTCTTAGCTTCTTGTTGGCCTGCGGGAAATCAAATCGACCAAGTTTATTACCTCAAAGTATAAACAATCACTCCGACCCCCCCGGCAAAACTACCGAGAAAAGACGGTCACGGAATGCTAAACCGTAACCTTTGAAAGTTGAAATATCGAAGCTGTGTTGTGTCCAAACCCTGTAGAAGTTGTACACCTGTAGTTGATAAGTTTATATTAGCAGTTTTTAGCCTTACGAGGTTTATGATACGAACACGTATTTTTAGCCATACACAACTACGAAGGCAATGAGAATGTTGCAATTTAAACATGAAACAATGGTAAAGCACGTAGGCGATGAAAAACATGTGTGGTATTGGAAAGGCTTACTGAGTGGCGGTGAGAAAAAACAATCTTAAGAGAACGCACAATCTCGGTCACGGTGAAAGCCATAACGTCGTAATTTACACTTAGCGAGTTTTATTGGGCGAGGCTAAGATTGCTGGTGACCTTGAGGGTGATTGCTCGAATGAAATTAGTGACAACTTAAAGCTCTAGCTAGTTTAGATCCAGCTTTAACAATTGGCGATATAAATCTTACTCGTTTGTCGGCTGAAAACCTGAACAATCAGTTCCTTATAGGGGGTGGCCATTAAAACCAAAAACCTTCAGTGTTTCCACAAGCACTGGCAAGTCAAGTAATTCACAATGACAAAGCTTGAGCCCTCTAATATCTTCCCCAGGAAGGCTCAATTTCAAAAAGAATTCACAAGTTTAAGCTTTAAACTAAAATATAACTGACTGTTGACATGTCAGCCTTTAGCACCAATCCATTCGCAATTGTTTCATGCCTAGTTCATTAGTCTAGTTAACTAGATACTCAATACTTTCACTACTGAGGTGGTTACATTTCAAGTTCTTTGGAGAAGCTAGCTTGAAGAAAAATTATTTTTAATTTACAATATGTTGGTCATGATACCATACCATTACCATGAATCTTGGTTTACCCAAACAATTATATTTGTTCAATTTTCCGTCGCTCGGTCTGACTAAGAAAATATCCCTGCGGCATGAACGACCGGAAACTCAGCCGGCTTAGACGGCAAAAAGATTTAACGAAGGTCTCAGTTAACAGTTAAATTTTGGCGATTTCTCAGCTAACAATTAAAGTTTCATTTTTCTCAGCTATCATTTAAAATAGAAACCCCACAAATAAGGAAACCAACCGAAGCGGGGGCACGGTATAAAGTGGACATCGGGAACAGCTTTTTGACTTTCCGCTGCAAAACAGCAACCTGAATAAACCAGCTGAAAAGTTTGCTATTAAAAGCACTCATAAGCAGATGCCGCGTAATTTTTTGGTTTGAAAATCTCTCTTACTTTGCTTGTTTATGTTATGATGTACCTCCATTACTTCAGAAGAAATGGAGTAGGTGGGCTTCCCGGGTTAAATTCTCTAGGTCTTGGTTTCAAGTTTCAGAGAACAAAACCACGTGAAACAGTGTAACTACTGCTTCAAGTGTCCTTTATTCTTTTAATAAACACTGAAAAACGATTGGAATCAGGGCTTAATAGCTGTACCCAAGGAAAGTATGCTCTACGTGTTACACAATATCCAGTGGTCGAGCTTCCGTTGTATGGTTTGCTCTAGCGGATGAACTTGCCAAGCCCTCAAGAATTTTGAAATGGTTATAAATATTGAAGTATGAATTCGCGAGGCAAGCCACGCGCCCACGTTGAATAGAAATACGTAGTGCTATAATTATTAGAGTCGGTCACAAGCAAACTTGCCAATCTTCCAATTCACGAGAAAACGCTAATTGCAACCGCTGCGGCTTTTTAACTGGTACTGCATACTTATTAGACATACGAAACATACCTACTGCATACGTACTACTCAGCGAAACTCAAAGGAACTTGCATCTGCAAAACGACGAAAAAATAATAATAATTGGTATTTAGAAGCAAAATCAGTCCAAGATGAACATGTGCATGTATCAAGGTAATATAGGAGCCCGCGATCTAACGGCCGCTGATTACACTTACGGGTCGATGAAACCACCGGCCAAGATCCCACGAAAGGTTAGTACTCAAAAATCTGAAAATTCCGTTGTTTTAAAACCCCGACAAACACTTAAGAAACTTCCTTTTGAAAACCGCTCTTTAGCTTAATATTGTGCATCTTTCTGTGTGCTGATGTAAGACTGTGTACGTCAGTTGGGTCTGATAGCTAAGAAGTGTCGGCTCTTTTAACGTCTCCCCTCGTCAAATAAAGCCACAAGGGAACTTTATATACAAATCCTCAAGGGCTTGCTTGCGACACTCCTTGAACGGCCGGTAATCTTTAGGTAAATATTTAAAGTTTTCTGAAGGATCCCTCTTAATTTATCAATTGTGTCAAACTCCGTGTCCTTAAGAATGCCTGCGAGGCGATAGATTCGAGCAATTTGGTCACGCACTTGGTGTTTAAATCAAGTCGCGAGCGTTTGTCTGTTGGAACAAAACGTTTTTCCGGCTGTTTATAATATTTCAAGTATTGGCACGCCACCCGAACATTGAAAAGAAAGGGAAAGTAGAAAGTGCCTTCAACGTCAGCGAAGCCCTGCACAGCTAACTTTACAAGAGGCAAAAGCTCGGAATTAGGTGATAAAATGTTCGGAAAGTTAGTCAGAACTTAGCTGATAATTGTACCTTCGTTCGCTGTTGGCCTGGTGCAATTAAGAGACCTTACTGCCTTGGTTTCTTTCTAAAGAATTCTGCAATGAGTCAGGGCATTTACTCCACTTACCGCGATTGAATACAACTGAACTGCGGCGACTTTGTTCTAGAAGTCTTTCCGCGTATGACTTCCGTTAAAAAACAGCGTATTTACTGTGTTCGACCGCGGTGGTTATGTCATCATTGAGTGATCGATTGATAAGACAAACACTTCTCGAAATTCTTCAACCTTTTGATTCCACATGGCGACTTTGATCTTCCATAATCCTCAAGACAAGATATGCTTCAAGAGGGTGTCTTCGCAATTCTGAATGCAACAGCGCCTTAGAGACCGAGAGGATCTTTGTGCGGAACAAATTCTGGCAGGGACAGTGTTCGAGTTATTTGTGAAATATGAAACTTTCAAGGTTTGCTTCAGCATTTGTGTGACTCAAATTCAAGCCATGAATGAGAGGCACAAGAGTGGCCGCAAAACAACGCGTGAACCTCATCGCTCGAATCATTTGCAACAGGTACAATTAACTTCAATAACTTTTTTACGATCGAAATAATCTATAATACGTTCGTCTACCAAACGTGCGCGCAACTTTCATTTAAAAGTTAACCACTTTTTAGCCACTAAAATAGTGATAAAGGTTTCTCAATAGTATTTATGTATTTGTTATTTTTAAATCGATACTCGTGACATTGTTTGGAGTAGCGGTCTTTTGCGACTAAACAAAAATGAATTCCACATATTACACTCATGTCTTTGTTGCTCGGGGAAACTGCAAGTAACAATTTCCATTTATATTGCCTACGCCTTTCAATCAACGGCAACTTCTATTTTTAGTCGACTACAAAATGCCCTTCGTTCTTGACGAAAGTTTCAACGGAAAAGTGACTGTCTGAAGACGGAGGACCTTTGCTTCCGCGTCAAATATCGCAACACACTCCGCACGCTATCGATTTTCACGTAATTTGCGCGCGATTAGGCGTTTGTTGTTTTATTGAATAATCCATTACAAAGTGACAACAAGTGTTAAGCAAACAGTGTGCGACAACGTCGTCGATGAATGTACTTTGGCGAAACACGATATTTCCAACCCTATAACCTCTCCACTCAGGCGCGCAGCCTAAATATCTAATCCACTCATGAGTAAAACGGGTACAAGAGTACAAGCTCGGGGTGTTTGAAAAAAGGGCCTTGTATCTTGTGTCACGGATAGCAAAGGATCAGTGATTCTTGTAGTCGCGTGTGGTTGAAACATAAGAGATTTAGCACAGAAGCAGAAACCTTTCACGTAAGACAATACTTTAAACCTTTTTCCGGTGACAAGTCGTGCTGTAGATTGACTAAACATTGTTGGTCTGGTGCGTGTGTACATGTACCAAAACACGGTGAACTGCGGTATCAGCTGAGCTTTCATTGTATCAAAGTCGTGTAATGCTGTGAATCATCACAACAATGATCAACTCACAAAAATATTGTGTTGGAGTGTCACTGGAGCATAGGAAGAGATTAAAAAAAAATAAACAATTAACATAAATCATCACGACAAACCAATTCTTGAAGCTCTTAATATATCATAGCAAAGTGTATTTTTTTGTTCTTCTCCCGGTTCGATGATTGATGGCCTGCCATTAAAACCTTTCCCTCATGACGCGTGAAAGGGCAACTTCGCCGCAAATTCTACCGAGGTGGTATCTAAGTATAATGCATTGCTCTTCTCTTTTTCATTTTGTTATCGTGTCCGCCTTCAAAGAAAAGCTGACACGAAATCGACTTTAACATCGGAAGGAAATCAACTTTTTGCAAATAAGTGTTAGCCTCTTAAAATCTCGGGACAAAAAACATTTTTGAATTCTCTTTATACCAGCTCGACTGGTGAAAGCCTAAACATTGTATTCAATTGTCTACGTGTCGGAGAAATATGCAAATATAGCGAAAGGGACGACGAAAAAGCAAGCTTGAACGAAAAAAGACATTTTCTTCCCATTGGTTTAAGTCCGAGGATACTTCTCAATCATCTACCCATTGTTATTTGACAATCAGAATGATTGAAAAACTTCCCGCAAAGCTTGTATCTTGTTTCGTGACTCCGTCAAACGATGTAGCCAAGCTTAAAAGATAAAATTTGCATATAGATTATTTCTTCAACACTTTGCCGCTGTGTAATTTTCTTCAGCTGCTAAGAAACAAAAGAGCGCCGTATTTCTGGTGACTTCGGCCGAAAAATTTTTTGGGACCTGATGTTTGACTGCGAATTGAGTGTGGAAATGTCGTAACAGCATGAGGCTCATGCCCCAGAATAAATAACATAATCTTCGGCCCGGCGACAAAAGCTCGTATCTGCAGGGTTCTTTGAATGAACATTACGCTTTGAATAACACGCTAGTGGCCCGCCAATTATGGTTGCTTTGGTTTCGTTGTCTGTTCTTTTTTAGAAAGAAGTGCTAAAGCCACACAGAACTGAACGCGCGGCAAAGTTCGCCTGTAGTGTTTACCGAAAATTTCACTTAAGTACTTGTTGGCAAACAGTGGCTTGGTTGTCGACTAACTTGATCTCAAATATTGGTGATCGTCAGTTCAATATTGATCTGTTTTGGTTCAAAATATCCGGCTTATCCTTTGGGGTTAATTATATCGAGCAATTTTCTCGGCTTTCCAAATTCTAAGCACTTGTAAACAAGGAACAATTACTTCGTGATCTATTGTAGCAATAACGGGTAGTAACGGCGCGTTCTGGATCGATCAAGATTCTCAATGCTTAAGTTTACTTACGCAAGAGTAACAGATGTTTTGCGCCAGTCACGAGCAGCCAAGAAAATCTAGCGGTTTCCTTTTATTCGGGCAGGATTTTAGCAGGCAAAGAGTTTTCTTAGCTTTGAGTGTAGAAGTCATTAAGACAACTTGCTGACATAATGAAATAAAAGAAGCTATTTATTGAATAATTAATCAAATCTGTTCAACATTTAGGCCTCAAGTTAGAAAAGACCACTGTAGAAAGTCACCGATGTTTGGCCTCAAATGTACTCGATGTTTACAAGTACTTCAAAACAGAGATATAAAGATAGAGTGACCTCTAAGAAACGTGTTCTGGTGGTTTGTAGGACGCAGTAGAGCGTTACGTCTAGATCGCTATAGCTCTCTCATCATCCCTTCAGAAAAAGCCGATCGATTTAACTCGTATAAACATATGGCCCGTGTCTTTTGTGGGCGTTTTTTTGAGGCCTTTGCAATTTTCTTTGACCTGAAGTTAAAAGTCTTAGAGCGTCCTTTTATCTTGTTATGTTGCGCAAATGAACATCAAAGGACACCGACATCTAATCTGGTATAATTTAGAGCACAAACCATTCCCGGCTCTCAGTCACGATTCAGGAAGCATTATGTCACTTTTCATTTACTAAACCAATCACGCGTGGACAATGTGAGCTTCACATCGCCCGCGTCGTCGACCTGCAATCTGTGGTAAAATCGCCGGATTTTGCCAGTGTTGCCATGCTTAGTGATGGCATACTTAGACTTAAGGTGAACAAACGCTTTGGTAGAACCTTTGACGGTAGGCCTCACGCCCACTTCTTGGTGCAAACAAAGAAAGAAAACACACAAAAGGCTCAGTGAAAATTTTGACAAGGCCCCGCCTGCCTGTTTATATACCATAGATTATTGGGTGTTGGATGGCATTATTATACGATTTGCTTTCTTAATCTGCCAATCGGCAACAAGGTGAAGAGTACACAAGTACTATAAACCATCAGGGGGCCTCAATTGATTTGCAAATAATTGGAAACTTTAATACGACAGAAAATAATTAAAATATGTCTGGCTTGCCACTCAAGCCCTCGTCAATTCCCAAAAGCATCTTTTGAAAAGTGATCGGTGCGAACTGATGCAACACAAAGCATCGCCGCTGCACGAAATTTAAACCGTGTTTGAAGAGCGACGTGAAGTACAGATTTCCCTCAGGCGATAATTGGCATAAACTTGAAGACTTGAGCCGCTGTGGAGTGGAGTAAGGCCGAGTAGAGCACAGCCTACCGTGACTGAATAACGTTTTACGCCGCCGACTGGTACGGCCCCGGGTTATAAAACATTTAGCACCGACCGTGAATTAAGCTTAATTATGACGTCCCAGTTGGGCCCTTTAGCTACGAACAGTACAACTCAGGGAGCAGCGCGACAAACAGGTAGTAAGAGAAAGCGATCGCAAACTCGTGAGCTGTCACCGCCATTGACTCCTCTATCTCCTTCCTCATCTCATTCAAAGAGAACAGAGACCTCATCAACATCCGCCTTCGAGTTGATCGATTCCGAGGTAAGGATATAAGGATATTCTGTAAACCAAGTCAAGTGCCAGGCGAGCTGATCGCTGTTCACACTTGTCAAAATACACTTGATCCTCAAGGGACTTAAGCGTGAGCCATACGCTCCTTTAACAGACTGACAAAATCGGCCGCTCGTCGACTCGTCAGATGGCGGTGAGCTAACTCAGTAGCCGTCATATCTTTGAAATCCACCTACAGTTCCGAACCGATGTCGTGAATGTCACACCGGTATAACACGCTGCATGTTATTTTCATTCGATAATAGACTTATTAACTCACACGCGTTTCTTGCTTCTCAGGATCGAGTCCTTGGACTACACGGAGTAAGCACTGTTAGTGGCACAGGAGTCGTGTCTTCGCCTTCAGCCAATGTGACCAGCGCAGGTTTAGTTTCGTGCGCTCCTCGCCTCTCACACACACCACCTCACGACTTTCGTGAGGTATTGTCCTCGCCGATGCAGCCTCAAACACACCAGTACTACGCTCCACAGTATAACCCATTGCACTATCAACAGCAACAACAGCCGAGGTTCGACTTCACTCATCCTCTGGAGCCATTTCAAACAGCACATTCACAGCAATTCGGCAATGGTCCTGCAGGTTTTCACCCGGCATCGGCCGGAGCGCCACACCAGTCCATGGCTGGCCCGACTCATCCACAGCCAGTGTCCCAGCATCAAGCAAGACATCCCGCTCGGATGGACGCTATACAACAAGTGCACATGAACCAGTTTGCTGCAGGAGCCGCAATGGAGCACGCAAGGCGAATGGAGGAGCGTTACTCAGCCGTGCGAAGGCCTGATATGTTGATCAATGATATGATGGGACCGGGAAACTTGCAAGATTCACAGGTAACATTTCACTTTTATCCTTCCAGTCACCCACCGCACAATATTTTCTTAATCCTGTGGCGCCAAAAGCTACAACCCTTGCGTTTAGCGCGCTTCGCATTTTCTTGTGGCCATGTCTACACCTTGCGGAGAGTGACGCAACGCCATAACAACATGCGATGGCAAAACTCATGCAAGCTTTTCGCACACAAAGCTTAAATCAGGTTTTCCCGCGAAACAGGGAACTGTAACAACTGTGTACGAGGTGAGGTGGTTTTTGAGAGGTCTAGGAACATTGTTTTCATTCGTAAACATCTGTGATCGGTAGACTTTAGGTGCTGACTGATCTTCTCCATATAGCGCGTGTGGTCAACACTACTTCTTAAGATACGACAATCTCAAGGTCACAAGCAAGTGACAATTTCGAGTCCTCCGGTCAATATTATCTATTAAAGCCCGTAGCGTTATTCCTGCCGCGGTCTATAACTGGCACTCAACGCAAATTTCCTTTTTATTTGGCTATCTACTCATGGCCGAGGCTATATTTGCCTCCCTTCATTCGCCTTATCGCATTTTGGGGTTTCCTTCGAAGCTTAGTCGTAAATCAACGAGAGTCATGCGACGTTGTCAGTTTGTTTTCACGAGTTCCCGGCGCCGCGTAAAAGTTTGATAACTAGGAAATTTGCTCCCTACAACTTTGAACAATATATGTGTTTTCGAGGGACAGTTGCGGTAATCAATAACACATCAGCTCGGCTGCAGAAGTCACGAGAACTAAAGTCACAAAGAACTCCTTAAGCCGTGAAACAAAACGGGTTTCAAGTGCGTGTGAAGTTTAGCGGTTTTCAGTTGAATAGGTTTTCAACACACGCTCTGCCTAACGCTTTTCTCGGCTACGTTGTTGATGTTAATAAATGATGGTTCTCGGGGCTATTTTTATAGGAAACAAAGCTTTCAAAATGCTAACTACTCTGTCGACAAACCCCTAACAAACGATTTGATCGCCTAAGTGCGGTCATGTGTTCCTCCAGGTGATGTTTTTCTCCAGGTGAAAATTACTCGTGGAAAGAAACAGAAATCTATCATCCAACAAAAGATTTTATGCGTGACTTGCTCAAGCTTGAGCGATTGGAATTAGAAGCCTTGTTTGAGATAGAAAAGGCCTTTTAACGAAACCAAAATGTTTTAGTTTGCAGTCATAAAATACCACATGTCGGGAGAAGACGTAAATAAATTCGAAACACTCGCTTATCAGAGCTGTTTTACAACAGCAAGATTTAAACACTGAAAACAGCGACGAAACAATCACTTTGCTGTGATAGATTTTTCAAAGATGAATAGGACAGAAATTGGACGAGTGGGGAAGAATGGCGAAGAACGATATGCTCGAAAATGGTTCACCAAACCACAAGGAACTATTAGTATGATAAAACTGTAAACGGGAAAGTTGATGTCTTGATTTAGTTGTGTTTCGTTTAAACGATTTTAAAAAACTCTCTAGCATATAAGGAAACCTATTGATTGTCTTTTACCAATCCTTTTATACTTCTCAACTGCCTTCTCAATTTCCATTAATGGCGCACCGAGAGAAATAAAGGGATATACATGTCGAGGTTCAATGTCTCGATTATGTTTAGACGGCCTTTGCCGTGAATTCCCAGTGGGGAGCAATTAATAAAACAACCACAGAACTGTTCACCTAGTGAAAAAATCCCATTCAAAATATCCGCTATCTTACTCGTTTGCCCCGTTCGTGTTTCGCTGTGAAGGCGAATTAATCCTTTTAAGAATTCTTTAATGCAGCTGATGTTGACCCTCGCGCGGTGGCTGTTTTGTTTAGCGGTTTCTAGTCGTTCGTGTTTCGTTCTGGTGTCATAAACCGTGACCCTAGCGAGCACTTCACAGCCACTTCTAAACGTGTGAAATGCCACTGAGTTTCCTAATCCCATTTACTTCGTTTGCTTAAAGCTTTAAAAGCAATTTTTAAACACGCGATCACAGTAGTTTATTGAGTGACCAGCGAGAAAGGTTCAAAATATTCCTTCGTGACAATTACCAAACAGAAAATTGCAACTCTTGGGCATCCGGCCAAAACGCGCTTCAGAAATTACAATAAAAGGGCGGAAAACATTAAATAGATCTGTGGCTTTGAAATAAAAACGAAGCGATTAGCAAACCCATTTCATGCCCAATAATACATTACTTGAAGTAGCCCGGTTCCTTTTAGTTTCAGCTTTACACCCTCGCTATATGCAACAGCTCTGTTAGACGGTTTTACAGCTAATATTGAATGGTATCATTAAGAACATTTTAAAATAAAAGGAAGAAGAATATATAATAAAAATTGACAAAGGTTTATGACATTCTTTCTCGTGTGTAGAGTTTTAAATAGAATCTAAGTTATACCGAATAGTTTTCTGTAGTTGGTATATTAATAGCTTAGGGACATGTTCTTCAACTCTTTATTCTTGTTTGTAAACGGGTTATAATTTTGGATTTTCAATCCTGCAGAATCATCGTTCAGGAGTATTAAACAGCAAAAATGGGGACACACACAGCCATCACAATTCTCGGGAAAGTAAGTGCAACACAGCTTTATCTAGTGGCTTAGACCACTCCCTTGCTTTCTATGTTTTTTCAGCTTTTATTTCTGTTGTGGATATATGGTAGGGAAAAAATAAGTGATTTCAAACAAAATGTTGAAAGGTTATTTACTTGGAGCGAGTGTTGCTAATGAAGGTAGCTAGCTACACACATCATTTGTTATCCACCGGGCGGTGGCAAAATATTATAACATTTAAAATGTAAAATTCGCTTCAGTCACTACAAGTGAAAGGTTTTTTTTTTCCTCTAGGCAGCTGACTTAAAAAAATTTATTTTTACCCTCGCTAGTGGTAAACGACATAAAAATATTGCTGATGGTCGTAGTGTTATGGCTGGCTGTAGCTCTGACTGGGTTTTCTCAAAGTGCGGTGCACAAAAAATTAAATAATCTTTCTTGATTTAAAATCATTAAAAAGCTCTCTGTGAATTCTTATTTGATAAGAAAGGAGGAAACGGAAAAAGTTTATCAACAGTCTTATGCGTAGGGCATTTGTCCTGTGTTAGTGATTAAAGCAGGATTTCAAAACCAAACAAAAACAGAAATCTTTGGCGCTTTCTATCAAAAATATTCCTGATGGCCTTCCAAGAATATATTTGGCTGTTCAATTTAACCTTGGCTCGTAACATCAGACATACACTTCTATAGTTACTCTTTAACAAGGCTAGATGCCATTTTTTTTTACAGACTAATGTAGCCACCTTATTTATCTGTCCTATCATTAATCAGGAGACAATATTTAGCTTTGGTCATCAATCTTCCGTAGAGAAGAAACAAAACCTAAAATATTAAGTATTTGCCTATGTTACGAAATCAGGAGGTGAAATTCAAATTCAATTTGGAAGTAAAACGTTATTTGTGCTGCGCATTTAATGCCATAAAGATGAAGTTGTTTCCAAGGACGATGGTTTTTTTTGTTGTGCGTTTGTCACATTTTATGAATGAAAGAGAAAATAAAATGTAGCAGTTGGTATATTTTGAAAAGAATTCTAAGTTATAAACAACGACGGAGAGATTTTCCTCAGGCGTTGAAAAGCAATTTGAAAGTTTGCTTCGTCCCTTAAAAACTTAATTGGCCTATTTTATGTTTACTCTTATTACAATAATTATTTGCTCGTCGATATATTTACGTTCCCTTTTCAGATCATTCTCAGTTAAGTCTGTGCCAATACTCTTTTAAAGTACCACTGTCCATGCTTGTTCAAACTTTATGGCCTTTACTGTCTTATCTGTAAGCGTTATTAAATTAACGGGGGTTACAAACCACCAGAGTTACTCGATCTGCTTAAACTACAGTTAGCAAGTCCGATTGATCCGAGTGAAATATTGACCTACACCAGAGGGCTTTGCTAGCGGGTTTTTCGTTAATTCTTATTCTCTACCAAAAAAATTATTTAAAAAATAGATGGACAATCGATCACTGGATTAGTAGCGGCTCAGCTTAAAAGTTTAATTTACTTCATTCTGTGGACACAGGCCAAAGCTCAGGTTGTCAATACTTTTATTGAATGTTTAAATCGTTTATGACAGCTCAATTTGTTCCGCTGCTTCTGTTTTATCCTGTTCGAGCATTTTATATATTTACTTTTGAAATACACGCTCATTGACGCGAGTTTTACTCGAACTCATCAACTGGACAACTTGCATATTAACGGTTTAACGTTGTACAAACGTCACTGGCAACATTTTATATCAGTGTTTCTCGCAATTTTATTCTGCGAAACAGTTGACAGTTTACTTATGTATTTTCCAGAGGATAGGCACTGAGAGGTGTCGCTCATTTCACCGCTAAACACTGGACTGCACACGTTTTTTGTAACATTACAATTGACATAATGGCATTCGCAGCTAACCTTGACAAAATTGAAAGAAAACTTTTCTTTTATTATCTTTATTTTTATTTTTATCATTATTATTATCTTTATTTGAACGTTAATCCGTGGTGAATATAAAACATCTGTCCTTAAAAGTCGCGCGGAAACATAGAAAGCCGCTTTTTGAGTTGAATATGAATAGGCAGGTGAGAGTCACAGTTATAAATATTTCATGATAAAGATGGAACCTGGCCGGATATTTTGGGAAATTGAGAAGACGAGCTTGTTCTCGAGGGAAATTTTTTGTCTTTCGCACGAATTACTGACAACTGAAGTGCTAACAAGTGAAGGAAACAAGATTTGATATCTTGAAAGCCAAACACCTACTGTTCGACGACAGACAGCTCTAACAACATGCCGTTTGTTCTTTTCTTGTGGCTTTTCTTTGCAAAGATTTCCTTTGTTCTGTGAAATCCCATATCCTCTGCCGTTCTGTATTCAAATTGCATTTTCTTTATATAAAGTGTATTTTTTTGCTTTGTCAAGAACACTTGTTGACCGGACAGGCATGATACTTTGCTGGTATCATGGACACAGCGTAGACAACTCACAAGCGGCTCTGATAAATGATTTTCTCTCAATAGGGGTCCGACAATAAAGACAGGCAAACAAACATTTCCCTTCTGTTTCAAAGGCTTCTAATAATAGATTTCTTGTCGCCTATTTTCTTACAAAATAATTTCCAGATAACATTGACAAGGTTGCTTTTTTCCTTTATATTTTAGCGCATTCAATAGATGATTCGTTGGCGCCTGGGCTTAGGTTGATAAATGGCGTATTGAACATCGATTCATAAGGTTATCGAGAATATAAAACCTACTTCAAACAACTGTTGTAAATCCACATGTACCCGTTATGTTTAAGAACGCTGTGTACAAACAACCTACTCAAAATCAAAATGTTTTGCTTTCAATATAGTTGTTTAGCAACAATCAAGTACAGCAAAGTATTCGTTTTAATTAGTTTTGACATAACGTTTTTCTCCGCTTAGAATATCGTGCAATATGCCTATGTGAAAACCTTTGAACCGTCAAACGAACAAAAAAAGCTAAAAATACCTTCATAAAACATAGCTTAATCGAAGTGACGCCAGTACAAGGGTTATTAAGGTTCTCTAAGTTGTCGGCGTCGTTTGTGAATTTGTAATTTTGTCGTTATGGCTTTCTACCTGTCGGAGTTAGGAACATCTTAATAACCTTGGTACCATGAAGGGCGGTCTCTCCTTGTTCTTACTGCCATAACTTTAGGCATCTAACAAAGGGAATGTTTTACTTTCGCACTTCTTTTGAAAAGCAATGTGTCACTTCTCTCAATACATTTTTCAATTCTTGTCTCTTTCCAACGTTCTGAATTTGACCTTAAGATCAAAGCGTGAAGAATTAAAACACAAGAATAACTGAGAGCATCTTTTGTTGTTTCGAATCCACCCTTCGTTCTTATTTGTACTTCAAAAATTACAAACTGCTGCCTACGTAGTAAGCTTATATTGCGAAGTCAAAAACACTTCTATTTTCGTCCCCAGCTTTCCATTGTTTTACTTCCCTCAAAATAACCTGCACTTGGTGCTCTTCGCTGCTTAGAAATCGGAGGATACAGCACGCTGTGTCGACTTTCCATGATACTAATGGTTTAATTATGTTTATGTTAAGTCTAAGGACCGCCAAGCACTTTGAAGCCTAACCTCTCGCTCTTTACTAATTGCTTTACAGTATAACTTGTCATTGCCTTGCAGCAATAACGTGAAAGTTGTTTGGTTAAAACAACGTCCATTAGACGCTTCGATGATTCGCCAAGTTCAATTCAGCTTGAGGGAAGAGCTTTTTACATTAGAGTATAAATAACACATTGTCTCTTTCGCTTTTGTGCGTTTTGGCGTCATTCCGAAACACTTGAGTTCCTTGCACGCGAATCAATAAACAAACAAATGTTCAAGTGGTAACAAGAGACTTACAATTTTTATTGCATGAAATAAATCCTATACTCCGTTCTTACTCAAGTTTACCTTTTCAATAAAGTTCTTTTGTGGTGTTTAGCTAATAAATAAGTTTTATGTTTCACCTTTGTTTTCTCATTGTTCGGCGCATACAATCTTTTTTTAATGACACTGTAGATTTTTCGCGGACATTCTTATTTTTCTGTCGACTTTGGGCTTCAAATATAATTTTGAACATTCTTAGATTTCAGACGATAGTACATGTATTTCAGTTATTTAAAACGGATGTGACCAGGAATTGAACTATCAAAAAAACTGCATGACGTCTGTTTCGTGTTACACGTGTTCTATAGCTGTACCTTATGCGTAGTTTTTATCACTTTGTTAGCTAGTTTTATTACAAAACGGAAAGAATTTACCATACTCTTCAATGGTAAAATAAAGTTCATTTAGAAACATTAGTTGATTTTAATGTATTTCATATCTCGTCTCAGCCTTGGGTATATTTTTAACGCAATTTTAAAATTTCACCAATTTCGGCCTCAATATTCTTATAAAAAAACTTTTTTTAATAACAAAATAAAGAGTTCTCAGAGTCAGGTCTGATACATAAGTGACAGCAGCTTTCGAGTTGGTCACTATTCAGAAAAGTTATTTAGTTGACTTAAACTGGAGCAAAACTTCACAGTATTGTACATTAACATTTTGTTGAAATTTAGAAACAAAACAGTGTTGTACTTTACAGCGGGAAATCCCGTGATATTACTTAAGAAGGGCTTAAGATTTTCTTATAGCCTGCCAAACATATTAAAAACGAAATTAAAAAAGCAATAATACTCTGCAAAGTTTAATCCACAAAAGTTTTCGTTTTATTTCCGCATTTCTTTATTTTTTATCAGACTAACAACAAGATAATTTGTTCTTTATGAACGTTTTTTGTCTGTGATCCACCGGTTCCGAGGGCTTTGTCCTTCAAGGCCGAGATCAGTTTTAAATGACCTTTATTTCTGAGAACTATATTAAAATCAGGAAAACTTATTTTAAGGCTGGCAGATATTAAAGTTATAGCCTTGTAACATTTGCCGCCGGGAAGCTTGCTGCCAGAGTTTAAAAGCCACGAGTTCTTATAATGGGCGGGTAACTGCTTTTGTTCACGAAGCACTTAAAAACACTGTAATAATGCCCCAGCGTTAAAAATAATAACACCTACAGCTTTCAAATATTACGATAAGTGACCCTCAAGTCACGTTTCACATGATTTCACCCTACTAACGATTTAATAATGTATGTACTTGTGGTATGTCAAAAAAACTAGTTTCAGCCAGTAGCCGGCAAACAGGAAAATATATATCGAACACAAAAGTCATTTATCACTAAAGATCTTAGGAGTTTTTGCCAAGTACACTGAAATTTAAGGGGTCCTAAAGTGAAAGAAAATTCTTTATCTCAAATGGAACTCTGTTTTCAGTATAATTTTCTTCTCAACATGAACTGTACTCATCTACAATGACAGGTGATAAATTCTAGCTTCTGGAGGATACCGCCCTGATTTATTAACAAATTCTCAGAAGAGACATTGAGAGTAATATAAGAGAAACAGTAATGAGAATGTTTAGAGCTTGCGACTAGAAAAGTAAACTTACTTTATTTGATGCCATACTTCTAATTTTTACTTGTGAGTTATTTTGGCAACATAGGAGCGAAAAAAATAATCATGATGTGGACTCTGATGGTCTTAACCAAATTATTTGCACATATATTTGGTCTAAAGACTTGTCTTTTTTTTATTTTTATGGTAATCCGAAAGGCACGTCTGTTAATTCTGGAAAGCGTACTAAAAAGTGAGTTATAATAACAGGGCAAGTTACGATGAAAGCATGCGAAACAGTGAGTCACAATAGAAGCGCAGGGAAAGTAAGTCTTGCATAAACGAAAAGTTACAATATTACTGCTTACACCACCGTCTTGCGGGAAGCAGGCAAACACAGTAACCATTAGACATTTTGTTTGAAAAAACTTGGTTTGGAAAACTTGAAAAATTCTCTAACAAAAGAAAAACATAACTTGCATAACTGTAAGAAATGTCAGCGTCTTTGTAAACGATAAAGACTCGTTTCTGAAACAATTCTAATTATGGACGAGCTAGTATTAAAAGGCCTCAGGAAGTGTTGAAACTAGTATTTTTGTTATGACATAGCAGTAAAACTTTATTTAGCCAAGGTGGCCCATTCAAAAAATTCGTTTCTTTGCCACAGGCCACAAACAAAAGCATGTTGAGCGGGATTCCCGCGAGGAGGCTGACTCGGACAGTCCCGTTCACCCGTCAGATGTGTTCTGTTGTGTACCAGGAAGACTGTCGCTCCTCAGTTCTACGTCAAAATACAAAGTTACCGTGGGGGAGATCCGCAGGCGACTCTCGCACCCCGAGTGTTTGAACGCTTCCCTGCTGGGCGGGGTTCTTAGAAGGTGAGAGCGATCGATACGTTATTTCTCCTTAGTATATTACTCCATTTACTATTAATGAGAATAAAGAAATCATCACCACTAAATTTACCCCTCCAAGACCAAGCCCGACAAACATCTGACTCTCTGCGGTTCAGACTCTCTGCAATCCCAGAGGACTCTGAATTATTTAACCTCCCAATAATCAGTTTGCGCCCTCCCCCCTCCCCCCACCCCCCGTTCCAACTGTAGAGTCCTGTCCTTTAATCTGATTTCCAGGTGAACGTATCAGTTGACACAGGAGCCATAATCGGGGACGAAGACCATAAGTCTTGGGATCCGCGCGCACCTACGATGTGGGACATTTTTAAAAGAAATTGCTCCATCCTGACGTCATATATCCGCGCGGATCCACGCACATGTCGGGGGCTCTCGCGTGGATGTTGTCACGTTGCGTGATCAAATGGTGAGAGTTGCGAGATTCTCTTGCAGATTTTTCACAGCGATAGCAGGGAATAAGGCGAGGAATAAGAACCAGGGCTCTTATATGTAGTTTTATGCTCTGAGCTATAGGAAAAGGTCAGTTTTTCAGGGTCAAAAACATGACTTCGATTTCGCGCTGTGAATGAATGCTCGCGCTAGTTGTACGCGTGAGCTTTTGCCCTTGTTCTATAAAGAAAAGTTATGTAAGAAAACTCTTTACTCTGGTATCGAGTTAATTTATGAGTTTCCCAAACAATGCTTAATCATAACTAAACCCTGTTTTGATAGTTAATTATTGTTTCTGTTTGTTTGGCGAGTTTGCAAAAGTTTTTGAAAGGAAAGTCTGACACGTACAAGTAGCTCATTTNTGAAATCCTCGCAAGCGTGTGGCAAGAGGAGGGAAACTTTGAAGTCCTGAAACGCTGCTATATCCAAATATATCCAACTAGTTTTTTTGCTGTATTGGAAAAGCTGTTAATCTTCAACATATGTGAAATTTAGAGTGGAGTAATGTGGAGCTCTTGTAAAAGAAGCTGCGGAACACAACTTGGTTTGTGATATATATCATAAAGCGGCGCATAACTAAATTCGACACTGTCTTACTTCACTCAAACTGGAGCAGCTTACGACGAAAATACTGAAGAAAAATTCTGACAGACATGAAAGTATTGAGTTGTGGGCCAAACGCATTAAACATTTCGGGAATTTTGGACGCCATTTCCCCGCGCTACATCCGCAAAAATCCTCGCAGCATGCGGTACGCGCGTGTGCCGCACGGGATGGCGCAAATTGTTCTGAAAATAGAAAAATTGTCCCATATCATAGGGACAGCCCCAATACTAGAAATGGCGCGCGCTTACGGTCTCCGTCCCCGATTATGGCTCCTGGTTGGCATTGTGCTAAAATTGCAAGTAAGACCTCCTTGTCAGTAGCTTGTTCAGCTCGTGTGAACGGTCCTGCGGTTTTACGAACACTATAAACGCTTTGCAAGCGAAAGGTTAAACCAATTTAGACCTAGTAAAACGTCGTCGATGGCCTAGTTTGGTCTAGCAGGAGATATTATAGAACACCCAGCCTCTTCTTCTCTAGCTGTCTCATTTTGAACTTCACTTACAGGGTTTAGTCGTTTCGTGAAATCTCACTGCCTCTGGTCTACTATACGTCCTTTTATTTTTGCGATCTACGTTCTCACTTTGTGGCACTGTAGATTATGCTAGAACCTATTTTTCCATCTTCACTTAGTAATTATACTACGTTTGTAAAATAGAGCGGTTTTTAGTTGAGTATCATAACACGAAATCGAAGTAATCACTGTGGCCAATCACGAATTACACACGCTATCCAATGAACCAATCATAAATCCAAGCAAATATTAGAAGCTAATGCGAAGCGCGGGAAAATGTGTAGGAGGGAGTCACGATTAGTTTTGGTCTTGCCTCTGATTGGATGAAAAAGTGGCGCGAATATTTTTTAAGCCAATCGCGTGGCGTAGTAATTCAAAACCAAAGCAAAGTAAAGTTATTTTCGACGCTCACGTAAAAACCACTCTCTTTCCCTATTTTTTCCTTTGGTACACTGAATAAACTGTTGTTGTTGTTGTTGTTGTTGTTGGAATTTACTTGGGGTTAACGTTAGCCTTATTAGGATAAACGGCTAGCTTTTTGAGGCCAAACGAGGCAAAGGTGTTCACTAATACGATTTTTATTTGCTGTCAGAGCCAAGTCTAAGAATGGCGGTAAAAGCTTGCGTGACAAGTTAGAGAAGATTGGTTTGTCACTTCCAGCGGGAAGAAGGAAGGCAGCACAAGTCACGCTACTCACGTCACTAGTGGAAGGTACGTTTGTAAGAAAGTGAAGTTTTACTTTCCTAACTAAGCGCTATACCGACATGTTTCTTTCTTGGTTGTTGAAAGGCCTTATAAAGATATAAATGGTGAGCTTGCCGAGCTTGCCAAGTATTTCAAGTCACGCGGGCTGTATATCCTACTTGTCCACAGACGTGTGCGTGTTTTTTTTTATTTTTCGAGCGCGCGAGAGCGACTGCGAAGTCCACAGGCCCTCTATTTTTGTCTTTCTAAAGCACCCCCTCTTGCGTTTTGGCTCTGTCATATCCCCCCCGGTTAATATTTTGCTTGCGATCTCGACGAACTTAAGACAAAATATGGAGGGTCTATGGACAGACAAAACCCTTACGGGATTGACTCTTGACACCTCGGACCTAACTGGAGCCATTCGTGCACCTTGTGGTTTACTCTTTGTACTCTGCTATTGACTAATATTGAAAACCAACTATACCTTGTTCAGCATAGGCTCCGAGCAGTTTCTCATGCTCTGTGGCACGAGCAAAGGTGAAGGCTCGAAAGACGAGTCGGTGAGCGAAGAGAGCCGATGAGGGGCTTTCGCTCGCCAACTTGTCTCTCGCAGCTTCACCTAATGCTTGTGCCGCAGTGCAGGAGAGCCCGACCGCAGGCTATGTTAAGTACAACTTTCCCCTAATATCTTCCAGTTGATTTGTGACCATAGCCTACGAACAGGCTCCCGGCGAGCGCGAAAACAAGAAATCGGCGAACTAAGCGAATTCTTCAGTTTCGCGCTCGTCGGCTCGCTTTGCTCGCCATTTTTTTTCCATCCTCGCCGGGAGCCTGTTCGTAGGCTATGTGACCATGGTCAATGCAGATCGTGTTTCACAGTGTACTTTATGTTATCGTTTGCAGGAGAGGCCGCACACTTAGCTGCTGACTTTGATTACGTGTGTGAATCAGAATTTCCTGCCGCGCAGCTGGCGGAGAGACAGTACAGACAACATGCTGAACCATCTCAACAGCAGTCCAGGAAAAATGCCATTATTGCTGCTAAGTATGTGCTGCTTCGTTAGAGTTTATGATCAGCTTATTTAGTCGCATTAATTCCTTCAGGTTATCGCGATCTTTTTTATGTGTTCCTATTTACATTGTTGAGATTTTCAACTTTAAAATTTTTGGCTTGTTAGATTAAATATTGCAAAAAAAAAAAATAATAATAATAAAATAAAAAAAATAACATAGAGACCAAGACTTGATGTGTTTTTAACAATTTCTTTATCAGAGCGGTTTTCAATTGAGTGTCGTAAAACCAAAACCAAAGTAATCCCTCTGGCCAATCACAAACGACACAGAATGAACCAATCGAAACTCGAAGTAAGTAGGTGTAGTTGGCGCGAAGCGCGTGAAAATGTGTTCGAGCGAGTTACGATTGGTCTTTGTTTTACTTTTCGCCTAAAAACCACCCTATTCAGTAATTATCATTACTTAGGAAATAGAAAACATGTACCGTGTTTCTATCGAGTTTCAGTATAAATCTACTAGCGTTCTATCACGAATGCCGTTCTCTGATTGGCTATGCCACTCGCTATCTATTCTATGATAAATAGTGAGTAGCGAAGCAGTGTGTGCTTGTTGACGAAATGAAGGCCGCTTCTTGGCGTTTTCGAGACTTGTGTCTGTGAAGAGTATTTAGATAAAGTTTTGAACGACTAGTAGATTTATACTAAAACGATTAGATTATTCGCTCTCGATTTCTATGCGTGACTAAACGAGATAGAAATCTCGAGCTCATAATCTAGATGTGAAATAGAAACACGATTTTAAACCAATCAGCGCACGTAATTTCTTTGGGCTGTTTTCTAATAGTGGCTGACGTTTTGTCCATCCTCTCTTCCAGACAATTGACAAAAGAACTTCAAGATGTTCTTGCCCAGGATCCTTACCCAAAGACCAGGTTACCCAACAGTAACCTCCCGGACTCTATCTTACGAAGCCTGAACCAGTTTGGTCTCGTGACCCATGGTTTTGGCTCACCGGCGATAAACGCCGCCATGAACGCATTCCAAGCGTACCTAGGAGAACTGCTTAAATTCCACGAAGGAACCGTCGCTTCCGGTGGAAACACCGGAAGTAGAAATCAAAATATTGTCAAAAATGGCGAGGCGTGAGTTGAAGATATATATATTATCCACTGTACATTTGATTAGCACAAAGAGAGAGAATAGAATTTGTACTCATCGTTTAGTTAGTTAGGGTATTCCAGATCGGCTTACAAAGCTACTGTCCCCGGACCATAAACATGTATAGAATATATTATAATCATAGAAGAGAGACAAAAGATAAGCTACTTTCTCAACATAGAAGTGATATCAGCCCGAAAAATATCGGGTAGGGAGGGTAGGGGAGACTTTTTGTTTGGACGTATACTTGATTTCGAGTTGTTATCACAATATCATTGCAATTGCTGTCGTGTATAAAATATATTTATGCCTCAGCAAGGAAATTCATTGAAACGCAATATATAATGAATTTATTTGCCTGTTAATAAACGTAAGCTTTAACTGTTTTAATTAATCGCGAGATATTAAAATTTACAATCCAGAAAAGAACCGAAACGAAACTAGTGCAGACAAAATATATTTCTGATTTTTTGATTATTTTGGGAGGACAAATACATACGTTGTCAAATGTTTTTTCGTTTTGTTGTGATTTTACCATGAGGTTTACTCCGAATACGGTTGGCAGTGTCTCCTTAGAGAATTTAGAAAAATCTACATCAACTATTCAAAGACCGCGTATAGGTTACTGACTAAAAAACGTAGACTAAACTCGCAATCCCCGGGGGCTCGAAATATGCTAGCCTTCGTACTGAAAACTGATAATTACCGTAACAAATGATCAAACTTCAAATACACCCCTTCAACTGATATTTAAGTAACCCTTTCAATGGCTCCGATCTAAACAATTACAGTAGTAAATGACAAAGTCATTTAAGTATACCGTATTTATAGTTTATTCATACTTAAAGTACTTGCTAGCGTGAACAAATTAAAAACTACTAGCCAATCAGTGAATGACTTTGGTAATGTTATTATTAAACAAAATAATTAAAAGAACCCGACCAATTAGAATGCAAGGAGAAAGATCGGATTGAAATCAGCTCGTCGCTTCCTTCATGAACTGATAAGGCGGTCACATGTTGTTTTCTTTGCCGTTCCCGGCTTTTTTCTAAAGCGACAGAAAGTGTTCGACAAAGCCAGGTTAGCATATATCTCTGTCTTGGAAAACAGTTACATGATTTTGAAAGCTGGTAGTCTTTTGGAGGCATGCATGTAGCTCGGTTAGGTTGCTAAATCGTCTGCACATTTTGGGAAAAACTGAAACAAATCTGACCCGTGTTGCAAGTGGCAGCGACATGTTGCACTAGTTGAGCTTGCATCATGATCTACCTAGCACAGGCATATTGCAACTTGCAACACGAAAAGTTCATGCTTGCCCCCAATCTCCTCTCGGTAAACACGCGCGCACAAGTGAAGTATTTAGGTACTTTTCCAGGTTGCTTTCGTGAAAGTTTAACTCGAATTATCTGCCTACTATGAAGGAACAAAAATTCTACTTAACAACAGTTTTCTTTTGTGCCATATTGAGTAAAAAAGATTCGCCAAAATTATTTCTTGAGCAGTCCATTTCAGCGGTCCGCATTGCAAACTTTAGACCGCTCAGAGAACCAATCAGAAGTCTCCTTTCATCTTGGACCAGTTTGCTTTGTATTAAGTATATGTGCCAGGGCCGCACTAGGAGAATATTGCGATCCGAGGTCTTGCCAAGCACGTGCTAAGACCAAAGGTCGATATTCAGGCTTTCCAGTCAGGTATGGTCTCCAGCATTAGGCTGATTTAGCAAGAGAACGGGAACGTCACTTGACGACGGCGCGCGCAGTGCAAATACTCAAATATGCTCAAATTAGAACAGAATCAAGGTTATTCCGCGCGCCCTGCAGTCGTCATCTGACTTTCCCGTCCTTTTGCTAAACCAGCCTAATGTTTGTGAATTCCCGCCACAACTGCGTTCTCTCCCCAGTCTTCTCACAGGTTTTGTCGTCCCGTCGCCGTCCGCGTTCTCGCCGCTTAAAGTCCCTAATAAGAGATTTATTACACGACTTAAAATAGTTGGCCTAATCCGTTCCACGATCACACGATCACGGACTGGAAGACACCGTGAACTTCAAGCTCGCAATTCTTCTCGAGGGCTACTTAGCATTTACTCCGGTATGACGCTTTAAAAAGAGAAAAAAAATGCAAAGAAGGAAAAGAAAAGAGCTGACTCAAAAATAAATAAATAAATAAAACGAATAAAACTTTGACGTCCAAACTAACTCTTTCCTAAAATTTAGCCATGAACTACAAGAAAAGCGAGCCAGATCATGACGGGACGCACGGGGCTTCTACTGTAAGTACCGGAGAGAAATGGTAGGAAATTTTCCTAGCATTCCTTACATACTCTCACTAGGGTTCTTCGTCTTGCGGCCAGGGAAGGCGTCATAATCTGTTTCAGTGACA